ATTATTCTGAGTCAAAGGTCCTGCAGAAACTATTCCCTAATGTTCACTAGTACAACATTCTCTGAATGCATTGTCATGTATGCTTTAAAATAGAAATATCTTGAGAATGTTAATGATACATGTGTGCATGTTTTTTTTTATTTTTTTTTGTGTGTCTGTGTAAAAAAAAAAGCAATTCTATCAAAGTATTTTTTGGTAGTGAATGAAGTCTTGTTAAACCTACATCTTTAACTTAAATATGTAGACATTAAACTGTATTTTTAGTGTTAACAGTCTGTGAACCACACAGAAATGGATGAAAATATTCATATAAGATTTGATAAGATTTTTTTAAAAATCCTCAAAAAGTAATGGGGTATAAATCTAAAGTTGGTTGTGTATGTAGCAACAAATATAATTGACAGCCTTCCAGCTGTTTTTGTACTCCTCATAGGTGGTAGAGGGTGACCTGTCACTTTCAATTATCACCCTTGTCTAACTGTCTGCAGCAACCCTGGTAGACCATATGCTGTGGGAGGGTCATAGCATATGGGCCACATTCTGTGGTATTGGCCTAACTTCTTTCTCTTATTATTTTATTATTATTTTTTTTTTTGGGGGGGGGGGGGGCATTATGAAAGGTTCCTCTAGCTTAAAACCATTTGCTTAAAATACAGTGTAGAATTGTTTTGGTAATCAAATTATTTATATGGCCTTTTAATTTCTTTTAAATATCAACCAAATCTCTAGCATAATTTTATGAAACGTGGCTAGTTTACCTCTTGACTTTCCTGGTGTATAGGTATCAGTATAAAATCTCATTGATGCCCCATTTGTTTGTCATCTGTTTGTCTGTTGATCTCCAGGTTGAGTCCCACTGCCCATCCCTGCTATAGTCTCTTATCTCTCCTGAGATAACTGACCAGTGGATAATAACATCAATTGACCAGTGATGCAACTAAGTCAATTGATTATTCACTGGTTATCTATGGAAATATTGTGACTACTTCTGGCTGGTATATTATTCAATTGGCAAAAATAATGAAATTTAATCAGTGAAGTGATGATTCAAAGACAATTGATCAATCATCAAGAACATAAAATATGTTATCTTTTTGACAACCCCTTCTGGTAGTCGAAACTTACAAATGTTATTAAATCAGCACTAATAATGCACATTAATTGCTTGATTGGCCTGCTGCACTTTGAATAAACTCACTGTTCAGTTGCCAGTGTTTGAGGAATGAGATGGTGGCATTTGTTTTGCATAGATTTTTGGTTACAAAAATAGTTTGCTTGAACAGTTAGACTTTTATGGGTGAAGTACGTCTTGGAAGAATCTCAAACAATGTGTATTCTTGGTGGTTCTATAGCAAACTGATCCATTCAAATTTACTTAGAATGTAATGATGTGTACAAAATTTTTGTTTTCAAATCTGTCATGTAATACAAGGTGTCTTTAAGAGGGAGGTTTTACCTCACAAGCCATACCTGTGAAACAGTATTTTAGCTATTGGTAGAGTATTTCTATTAATGGTCCAAATGGGGAAAAGATAAAATGTATTGAAGTGCACTCAGAAATGCCACTTTAGATGTCACAATGTACTGATGATGGTTCACAGGGAACCTTTGTTGTTTCATGTGGGAAAGTTATGCCATAATTGCAATTAAAAACTCATTTTCCATCAAGTGAGATTGGGGATGCTGTGAAATCTCACTCAGCTTCTGAAAGTTTTTTTTTTTCCTATTGTCGAGTGGTGACAGATGTTGTCAAAACAAGTTCTGCCAGAAGTAATTTAGATTGGATAGCCCAGTTCAGGTGGACCAACAGCATTGAAAAGTTAAAAATAACATGTGTTGAACATTTTACACTGGTCAGAATGGCAATGCACTTTTTTCTTTAAAAAGGAAACATCCAGAAATCCCTCACTTTTAGGCCCCAATCCCATAGTGACCATCAGTCTGTGGATCGATGGATCCATACGGAGGACTTGCCGGCTGCAGTCAGCTTAACTGAATGACAAGCCTCCTCATGGCTATAAGTAGAATACAGAAGTGCTGGTGGCTATATGAATATGTTGGAAACAAGAGGAGGTGTGCCATTCAGTTTAGCTGATTGAACTTCATGAGAATCCCCACAGAGTTGGATTGATCCACATAGACTGATGGTGTCAATGGGTATGGGGTCTAAGACCCCATTTCCATAGATTTTAGATCGATCTATCCCTGTGGGGAGTCTCACTAGACTACTGTCAGCTAAACCGGCTTAAGTGTCTGTCCCGCCTACTGAAAGCTGTAAGGGGGTAATTAACTATGGTGCGCGCTCGGCTGACTGCAATTTAGCGTGAACCCCCAGGGAGTTAGGTCGATCCAAATCTTAATCCCTGGATCGATCTAAATCTCTGGGAATACACCCTTAATCTGTGTTCTTCCAATCTCCCAAGAATCAAGAATTTAATGTTTTAAAACTTACAGAAAAAATGAATATTGAATTCATGGTATGTGGAACTGTCCTCCCATCACATTTGCCATTTCCTTGTTAGTATGTTTTCATGGGTTCACAACATGGTTCAAAATGTCAGAAGAAAAGTATAACAGACATTCCTTTTTTTGTACCTTACTTTAATTGTCCCCTCAGGTACTGATATTTGGACAAATTAATAGTAGAACATAGCACTTTACAGCTAGTGGAAGTACTGATTGCAAGAACCCAAGTATATAAAAGGGCATCAGGGGACAGGTCCTTTTTTTCTTGTAAGTTAAAATTTTTGTCACAGAGACAAATGGGCCTGTTTGATGTAAGTCATGTCAGGTCCTGGTTAGTGTTTCAAGACACTAAAGTTTTTGCATTTTCAAGCTGGGAGATTTGCCAATGAATGACATCACTTCTATTGTTTCTAGGGCTTTAAAAGTCTTGTAAGGTGTAAAGATTAAGGGCTTTTCTTAGAGAGAAAAGTTCAAGCAATTGAAATGATTACAACATATATAAATCAGAAAGGACAGAGCAGAAAAAAATCGCTCATAAGTGAATTTGTGTAAACTTAAAGATAATATCTTGAAAACAAATTGCTTTTTTTGATATACCCAAATACTAAAATTGAAAAAACAAGTATTATCAAACTTGCTTTTCTGACAGTTTAAAGACTAGAGTTATTCATTGAAATTAGCTATTCAGACTTTAAAAATAATAAATTAATTTTTTTAAAGAAGAACACAGCTCCTTGGCTGGAAAGCTAGTACAAATTTCTTTTAGGAACGTTTCGTATGAAAAGGAACTTGAATTTCCCTAAGTTTCAGTAACATTCCATGACTGTTTTTCCCCATCAAACTCTTATAGCACAACTGGAGAAAGAAAGTAAGTCCACACATACAGATCACCTTGTATGTAAAATTTTACTTTTTGGCTATGTATTGGAACATGTCAATCCACTTGACACCCAAGAAGATAATGCATCTAAATACGTGGCAAAGGTCATTTTTGCAACTTAAAATATGAATGGAATAAGATTACTGGCTTTTATAGACTTTTGAGAAGATTAGAATATTTAGTTTCAATTCTGTTTATTTCTTAAAAGGAAATTCATGGACTGAAAAATTGAGCTATCACTGTACAATTTTTCAAATTGAACATCTCTCCTTATCAGTTTATCTTTCTAAAAATAAATGTGTATGCCAAATTCCCTCTGAAGTTGTCTTGGGTCCCTTTCATTTACAACACTTTGTCACAGGATAAAATAAATGTGAATAAGTACAATAAAACAAGTGCTGATAGCATCAAACAATCACAGAATTGTTCCCTGTCAGTCTCCATTTAAAGGAGCATGGACCATATCACGGAAGCGCAAAAGTTGACTTAATTGACCCAAAAGTCAACTGTCATTAGATCCACTTTATTCATGTTTTGGTATTCCTGTCCTTTTATCTTGGCGTCTTTTTCGGCTACATGAAAGGGCCTTAGTGATAAAATATAAATTCTTAACATTGTGATGTTGCTGGTGTTGAAAAGCTTTCCATCATATAGCATGTGTTTTGGACAAAGGTAAGTTGTATTAGCACACCTGAGTGAAGAGGGTCTCCATCCTGGCCTTGTCAATTTCAGCATTTGAAATATGATAGAATGTACAAGAAGACATTATAAATTTACCTGTATCCCCCTCTCACACTGATGCTTTGTTGCATGTATAACATTGCTGTATGGTGTGTGTTTGTCCATGTGTCATCATATCTGTGTACACATTTGTATATTTTTTGTGTGTGTGTGTTTGGGGGGAGGGTAATTTGGTTATATCAGCATCAAAGAGTAACATTTCTGTTCACAAAAACATATTGGCAGTAGTGCATGAAAATTATTTTTTAACTGAACATAAAGCATTAAAAAACTTGAATGGGTAGTAGCTTGATACCAACTTGTTGCACTGTCAGGCCTACCCAACTACCAGACTCGGCACCGAAAGATCCTGAATTCACCGGTAGATCAGACCACACTACCCATTTTCAAGGTGTGTGTCAGATCGCATTACACAGTATCAGACGCGACACCGCTCTTGCCTAGTATGCGATGTGATAGTGACGATTCTCAGCAGGGTTGAAAAGCATTGCATCACCACTCAAAATTTGTTCAGGGTATGATACTGTGTAATGCGATCTGACACACACCTTGAAAACGGGTAGTGTGGTCTGATCTACCGGTGAATTCAGGATCATTCGATGCCGAGTCTGGTAGTTGGGTAGGCCTGACTGTTACTGTATACATGTACATCATAATTTCTCCCCACTTTTTTTATAGCTGTTATATTTCAGTAATCTTAATACATTGTCTTGAACGTATGTAATAAATAAACATTCCAGGGTGCAGATGTGAAATTTTAACTATCCCACTACTCCAAGGCATCTAGTCTTTATGGTCACCATTTATATACAGTTACTAGTAATACTAAGTGTATTTTTCAAAGCATTGATTTGTAAAGTTAACAGTCTATGTCCATAACTCAATTGTGTTATCTGATATCTGTCTTTTTTAGGCTTTTCAAATTGCTTATGTGATAGTAAAAGCTGCCAACTCCCCCCGCCCAGCAAACTGGATCCTAGAGAGATCAGTGGATGGAATCACATTTACACCTTGGCAATACTTTGCTCTCAGTGATGGAGAGTGCTGGAATGCCTTTGGGGTCCCCCCTACAGTGGGAAGACCACGCTACAGGAGGGATGATGAAGTTATCTGTACTTCATTCTATTCCAGGCTGGATCCCATTGAGAATGGAGAGGTATTGTCTTCTTTGCAATGAAGTTTATTATTTATTTTTTAAAGACTCTTAAAGACTTTTTAAGAATTCTGACATATAAAGATGTCATTTGAAATCAGTTTGGTATAGATTATGCCCTTTTGTTTGCTGCTCTTTTAGATTTCCTTTAATTGTGGTATAATTTTTGATAATCATAGGAGCTTGAGACACTCATTTTTTTAACCAAATGGGATAGAATAACTGGGATGTTTGCTTTTATTATTGAAGAACTTAAAATACCAATTTTGAAAATTAAGAAAGTTTCAAATGTATGACTTAAGGAAAAATGTTTTCATTTTGTATATTACTAAAAATTTTTAAAGCAGCATTTCTGTCTGTAGTTGCAAGTAACTTTCTTTAAAGTTGTTGACAGTATACACTTAAACTATAGTTTATGTGGAGGGTGGCTTCTGTCTGTTGGTTGGCAGGACATTTTAAGAGAGAAGTGGACATTTTGTGAATTTTATTAGGCCCAGATGTTGACAGGGATAGGGCAGGATAAAATCTGATGAAAGAGCTAGGATGATATAGATCATTGCAGAGATGCACACAAAAATGAATGTCCCTTTCCTAATAGCTTGGGCGTAGAGTAATTTCCTGAACTTTGATGCTCCTGGCTAACAAAAATAAGACCTGTTATTTATTGTTAAGCTAAACAGACAAATTTCAATGGAAGAATGCAAAGATATCTGTGGCATCTGTCTGGATTTTATGTTGTTGTAAAACACTGTCAAATTTTTTTAATTTCACTATATAAATGATAACAGTCATAAAGGACAATTTTTGTTAGTTTTTAACAAGAATATTAAATATTATTTTCAGATCCACACCTCATTGGTAAATGGGCGCCCAGGAGCTGTGAATGGACCAAGTGACTTATTACTGGTAATTATACCATTTGTAAAAATCTAGTTCTTAAAATCTAAATTTAAAACATTTCAAACATAGGTGCTTAAAACACTTAGCACTGCAGACAAGATATCTGGGTGGCATATTACAGTTTTTACTCTCAAATTTCATATTCCATATAGATTTTGAGTTATTCTAAAAAAGATTTCTCATTTTTGCATGAACCCCTTTTACTTTCCAGAACTTTTCAATAAACTTTCAAGGCATGTATTTATTACCTTTTTTTTCCAAAAAAGTATTTTGGGTATCATAAATTATCTTCTTTTATTTTTCAAATTTTGTGAGCTATTAGTATTACCTATGTCCACCTGGCAAACATTATAGGTGTCAAGAGAGGTGATGACCCACATGTTAACTGTGACCTGTTAACTTCAACAACAAAGTTTTAATGGGAACAACAAGGCAGAAGCATTGGCTATCATAGATGGTTTGAATCCATCTGGTCAACTAACATGGTCATTTTCACTCGTGCCAATCAGAGGGCAACATGTTGTCAAGAAACATGTTTATTATGTTACTGTGCCTAAGTACTTAATCAGCAATTTCCTTTGATATAGTGTATGTGCAGGTTAATTAAGTTTTTTTTGTTTATTATTAATATAAATCAAATTATTTGGACATTTATGAAAATGGCAGTGTAGGCAATTTTACTGACAATTTTGTTCTGGTAATGATGAAATTTGATGAGAATTTGGGCACATCAGATGCAAATATGAGTGATCAAAATTCCAGACATCAGACACAAGACACATAAAGACTTAAAGTATTTACAATTTAGGTGAGGGACTATTACTTAAGTGATTGGGTGGTACTTTCTTGCTAATTCAAACCTGACATGTCAGTTTGTGTTAAGTATCGCCTCATTGAGCGCATGCAAAGTTTAGCCTTTATATTCAATTCTTTTGATTAAAAGTTAAAAGCTATGAAAAATGTTAAAGATTCAGGATTGAAGAATAATTCCAAATATTCCAAATTGGGTGAATATATCTTTATACTTGCAAAAGAAAATGTCTTTGTGTGAAATTGATGATATATATTCCAAGCCTTTTTTTATGTACAGACACAGATGTGTCTGTACATATTGCCATCACCTGCGTCTGTCGTCGCCGATGGTGATGCCGATGCCGATGCCGTGCACTTTCCTTGTAAACACGATAAGTGGAGGGCAGTTTTACTTTTTGGCTTTATATATTTACAGAGCTGATGAATATTCATAAAACGCAGGTCAAGTTCGAAAATCAGCATGATCGGGCCATTATTGTAGAAGTTATGCTGTTTTTTCACTTTTCAGCATATATGCAACACTGTAAACACATTCCAAGGAAAACTGATAGGCCTGTTGTCATGAAACTCACAGGAGTAATCTATCTTACTAAAACGCAGGTCAAGTTAGAAAATCGGCATGATCAGGCCACTATTTTAGTAGTTATGCTTTTTTTTTCACTATTCAGCATATATGCAACACTGTAAACACAATATAAGAAAAAGAGNACCTGTCTGTCGTCCCCGTCATTGGCGTCGCCGTGCACTTTCATTGTAAACAGGATAAGTGGAAGGCAGTTTTACTTTTTGGCTTTATATTTACAGAGCTGATGAATATTCATAAAACGCAGGTCAAGTTCGAAAATCAGCATGATCGGGTCATTATTGTAGAAGTTATGCTTTATTTTTCACTTTTCAGCATATATGCAACACTGTAAACACATTCCAAGGAAAACCGATAGGCCTGTTGTCATGAAACTCACAGGAGTAATCTATCTTACTAAAACGCAGGTCAAGTCAGAAAATCGGCATGATCAGGCCACTATTTTAGTAGTTATGCTTTTTTTTCACTTTTCAGCATAAATGCAACACTGTAAACACAATATAAGAAAAACAGATAGGCCAATTGTCATTAACTCACAGGAGTGGTCAATCCCTCTAAAACGCAGGTTGAGTTAAAAGATCAGCATAATCGGGCCATTATTTTAGAAGTTATGTTGTTTTTTCACATTTTCTCAGATTCAATTCTTAGGCATGTTAACAGTTTCATTATTTAATTAATAAGATATTAAAAGTGTTTGTTTTACATTTCATGCATCTTTACAACATTGTTAGTTGATTTTGTAAAAATGATGGTTAATTTGTTATCGTGTATTGTGTAATAAAGTTTCAAAAATGAAAATAAACTCATATCATTGCAGTTTGTCAGATTCAATCATTCATTCATTCACTATGTTCAGAATCTCAGAATGGAAGAAATTGGACATTTAACACTGCTCTATTGATATTTTCCCATCTCATCAATTTTTTTAGTTGATCATATAAAAATGGCAGTAAACTGTTAATTTTGTTTTATGTTAAAAATTGTTAAAAATGGAAAAAAAAAACATTTCAGAACAGTGCTGTCTTGTTTACATTTTGGCATTTTCAAGTTGTGACTTTGAAGTTCCATGGGCCTGAAGACCTTTGCTAGTCACATTTTCTGAATATCCATGATACTAATATTTTATTATTAAAAATTGATGGTCATTATGCTGTTAAACATTATGTAATATTGCATCAAAATTTGAAAAAAAACTATTTTGGGCACTGCTCCCATGATGACCATTTAAGAAAAACCATGTCACTTACTGTTCTCAAACAGTACAGTAAATATATATAGATGTGTCTGTACATATTGCCATCACCTGCGTCTGTCGTCGCCGTCATCGCCGTCGCTGGCGCCGTGCACTTTCATTGTAAACACGATAAGTGGAAGGCAGTTTTACTTTTTGGCTTTATATTTACAGAGCTGATGAATATTCATAAAACGCAGGTCAAGTTCGAAAATCAGCATGATCGGGCCATTATTGTAGAAGTTATGCTGTTTTTTCACTTTTCAGCATATATGCAACACTGTAAACACATTTCAAGGAAAACCGATAGGCCTGTTGTCATGAAACTCACAGGAGTAATCAATCTTACTAAAACGCAGGTCAAGTTCGAAAATCGGCATGATCGGGCCACTATTTTAGTAGTTATGCTGTTTTTTCACTTTTCAGCATATATGCAACACTGTAAACACAATATAAGAAAAACAGATAGGCCAATTGTCATTAAACTCACAGGAGTGGTCAATCCTGCTAAAACGCAGGTTGAGTTCAAAAATCAGCATAATCGGGCCATTATTTTAAAGAAATGCAGTTTTTTCACATTTCCTCAGATTTAATTCTTAGGCATGTAAACAGTTTCATTATTGAACTAATAAGATACGTAAAAGTGTTTGTTTGGCATTTCCTGCAATTTTACAACATTATTAGTTGATTATGTAAAAATGATGGTAAACTTGTTATCGTGTATTGTGTAATAAAGTTTCAAAAATGGAAATAAACTCATATCATTGCAGTTTGTCAGATTCAATCATTCACTATGTTCAGAATCTCAGAATGGAAGAAATTGGACATTTAACACTGCTCTATTGATATTTTTCCCATCTCATCAATTTTCTTAGTTGATCATATAAAAATGGCAGTAAACTGTTAATTTTGTTTTATGTTAAAAAATGTTAAAAATGGAAAAAAAAACCATTGCAGAACAGTGCTGTCTTGTTTACATTTTGGCATTTTCAAGGTGTGACTTTGAAGTTCCATGTGCCTGAAGCCTTATGCTTGTTACAAATTTTACTTACGTTGGTATTACCTGTTGAGCATAATTAAAATTTGATGTTGAATTTGCAGTTAAGCATAAGGTACTTTTGCACCAGATTTGACAGTAGCCTATTTTTGTGCATTGTTATTTCCTGCTTTTTGTCTGTACATTTGACAACTTTGCTGCCTTGTTTAGAATATAATTTAATGTCGAAAATGTTTTTATAAGAACTAGACCTTTAACAATATGTATTATCCAACTGTTATTATTAATTAACATATTGTTATGTACAAAGCATAAGCTGCAGTATCAATGTACAGTAGCATTAACTGGGTAGAGATTATGAATGAAATAAAAGTTTAAATATTGAAACATCTTTTATTTATATTTGGAAAAAATACAAAAATAAACAAAGTTTGCTACATAAGTTTGGAATTTGGCCAAATCATCTTTATTATTACCTGTCACATATAATGAATAAGACATACACAGATTTTGTAAGCTAGAATGCATAATTATTTTCATACTTATTAATGCTCTCTTCATAAATAAGCCTTCCATTCAAGCATTCACAAACTTTCACATTGTGCAGTACACATTTAAGTATGGTAACATTTTTGAGAGAGAGTTATTAACAGCCGGGCTATCATGTTAAGAGTCTGATGTACATGCAGACCCATGAGCATTGCAGATCAACAAATTATCCCCCTCTCTGTCAGTGTGTTGACTCATGTGAGCTGACACAAAAGTCTCAATGCAAAGGGATGTGTCATAAGAAGGGACTAACCCGACTTACACAAACATAAATTGTTTCATCGGTAAGATATTCACACATACTTTTCCAAGATGTGCAGGGAATAAATAGAAAGGTAAAAATATTTCTTAAAAAATACAGGCATGGCTTCCCTGCATGAATTCTAAATGATGGCTGAGTGGAGAATTGAATACAGGCACAAGTGTTCACTCAATCCATTTTGTAGGTCTTAAAAGAAATGACATACAGTCATTTGCCAAATGCAGAATTTTATGCTGTAACAAAGTCTCAAAACTCTGCAACTGGTGATCTTACAAAATCTGACCACACTGGTTTAAAATCATGTTGAAGTCACAATATGCCACCAGTACGTACCATATTCCATAATACATTTGATGCCATTTAGATTTAAGAAGTAAATGCTGGACCAAAATGGTTTCTTCTCAATATCTGGCATATGACTTAGGTTTGGGAGGAAAGACCACCTTGACTTCCAATCTGTCTGCATTATAGCATAAATGCCACTGCTAGATGGTTTGAAGTCAACAGATTATGCTTTTGTCACAGTGGCAAGATGAGTTCACTGAATATATCCTGTAAGCAGCACTTGAAAGTCAGGAAAAGCAAGGAGTTATAACAGAAGGAGATTACACGCGTGGGGGTGGAGCCCGTATTACGGTCTCTCATTGGTCGGAATGAATAGAACCCAGAGAACAATGGGTTCCTATCTCTGTTACGCTTTCTGTTACTCTCGTTTAAGTCTCGTTTGTCAGAATAGGTGCCTTCGTCTGTCGTTTGGAGAGGACACAAACAGAAACGCAGTCAAACGTTTCTTAAAACGAGAGAATTACAGAGTGCAGAGGATATAACGTTGGATAAAGTTATCAAAAAACAGGTAAGTGCTTTTAAATGCATATAACTACTCGAAATATGAAGATAAATTGCAACTTTTATGCCGTGGGGTCTCACTGTATAAGTGTCCAGCTCCACGTCGATCTCGCGAGATGGTGTGTGGAGAATAAATATTGCACGAAAAATATTTCCCACTCATAACAAGTGCTTATAAATATAGTATTAGATGAAAAAAGTTTGGTCGTTATACAGTTGCAATTATTTAGTTATTTGTGGCAATAGCATAGAATAAAACTTAGGTGCACTTTCAGTAGCCGAATAACAAGCAGATGCATAAGCCGCCATCTTGTTTATGTTTCGAAAAAAAATAACTCCAAAAGACATTTTCCTCCTACTTTTTGATACTTGTGTCACATGACAGTCATAAAATTTAACTAAGTGGTGTGTGTGCAATACATTTTCTTGAGCAGTATTGTTGGTTTTTTCGATTTTACATGTGGTCTGGCTTGAATACGACAAGGGGCAATTGTCACGAGTCCAGAAAAAAGTGTTACGCTTGTTACGGCCAAAAGCCTGAACGTTTTTTGCACTTTTAAAATGCATGATTATAAAAGATTTTGGTGCGTTTAGATTCTTGAACATCTTGGTCGTGGCTTGGTATATATTGCATGGGTATTGCTCCAATATTTCTTTAAAAAAATAATCTGTTTTGTTCAGAATACCAATTTTTTACTTTAGTGTTATGGGTAAATGTACCATTTTTGCCTTTACCTTTTTCGTGTTTAAAACTAATAAGACTTATCATGACAGTTGGTCATCATTTTTCTTCTCACCATGGTGGGTGGCTTTAATTTGGAGTGGTAACTTTGTTGTTAAAGTAAGGTGCTCAGTTATTTTCACTGGAAAAGTTTTGCCTCCACTCAGCATTTTCCATCATGGCGGTCTAACGGGAAGTTTGACTTCACAGTGTCTTTGGTATAGTTATTTATTCTTCTTTTTACATATATGTGTTTTAATTCATATTAAACCTTTGAAAAAAGAACACACATGATTCCTGGTGCTTCTTAATTTAAGGTCTTAAGGTTTTAAGTTCACCTAGGCTCCACCAATTACTTTACCTGTTATCTCACTACACATCTCTCTTTGAGTCAAGGTGTGTATACGTAAGACACACCTCATTGTGTAAGACACCTCTATAATTAAGGGGTACTTGCTTCTCTACTTTAATTATACTTCACTACTTTGGCATGTTATGTGGCAAGCTTGGGTGTTTCAGTTCATTTTAAGAAAGAAGCTTTGCCTTGGTGGTTATATATACAAAAGAATAGAACTCTGTTTTAATAGAAAGGTTTATTAAAAGGTTTATTCATTACTTGAAAGGAAATATTTCATCTTGCAGTGTTGAAACAGAAATTCTCTCAAAATTGATAATGAATTTTACATGCATATCTTAACACTACTCGAGTTTTTTTTTCTATTATAGATGTGGGAGAAAGCTGCATTGAATATATGAATTATGGTCAGGCTGGAAAAAAATTTAAAAATGTCAATTAAAAAAGGAGGTCAGCGTGTGTGGGGTAAGTTACTTTTGTCATAGTGCCTACGATGCATTAAACATTCACTAACAACAGTACCCTTTTTAAATTTTTTTCAAAATACAACAACCTTGGGCCTTTTCCTTTTAGCAACCAGCCTCTCTGAAATCCCCTTTTTGTCCTGTCAGAAGANATAAGAATTTGATGTTGAATTTGCAGTTTAACATAATGTACTTTTGCATCAGAATTGACAGTAGCCTATTTTGTTATTTCCTGCTTTTTGTCTGTACATTTGACAGCTTTGCTGCCTTGTTTTGATAATTTGCCATAACTTGTTCTATGAATAGACTGATCTTTATCTTTACTCATGTCTATCATGAAATGTGGTTGATGGGTTATCTTTTACATGCAAGATAGGAAACCGAACATTTTCATCTCAAGTTAATTCTGGACTCTAATTTTTGTACTATGTCCATCATGCTGAGTAAAAAAAGAAAGTTTTGTTTGTATTAGATTGGTTTAAAGGTTTATCAAGGCACAAAAATTTAAACCACTTAACCTTTGTCTCACTTCCTTTTGGTAAACTGGTCTTTTGCTCCCTGATAATGTTTTACTAAAGTAATAAACAAAATTCAAGGATAACTTGGATTTTGTAAAGATCACCCAGGAAAGAATTCAGAATGAACTTGCTCAGTAAAAAAAAAAGTAGAGAAATAAACAGAACACAGGAATACAATAATAGTATAAGAAAAGCCTCAAAGCTTCAAGCATTAGAAAAGAAGTAATCTTTATAAAAACAATTTAGAAAAAATAAACAATCTTGTGGGATAAGCCTATTTTGTAAAGAAAGTTGCCAATTTCACAAGCTCCAAGAATGATTCATTCTGTGAAACAGCTAATTAAGAGAAGAGCACGGAATGGAGAAAAGAGTTTAGTATAAATTCCTGTCAGTTAGAAAAGTTTTTTCAAACTGTTTAGAAATCTTGCAATCTCACAGGAACTTCTTCCTGTTGCTTTCCCAATTTAACCCTTCTTACTGTTTATTTGTAGGAATTCACCACTGCCCGTTTCTTGCGCCTAAGACTGCAGAAGATTAGAACATTGAATGCTGACCTGATGACTATTAGAACAAGCAACCCAGACAAAATAGATAAAGCTGTCACTAGGAGGGTAAGTGTATGGAGCAGTTATAATGGGATATAACCAATCATTAATTTTTTCAAGGCAATTGAACTTTTTGAGGCACTAGCTGGGATGGACTGATTGCTATGTCTCGTTCTCCCCTGTTGTCCTTTCTTTGCACTTAACTGCCAAATAATAGTACATAAAAACTGCTTCATCTTGTTTGTTCAAGCTCAGGTATAATAAATCTAAAATTTTATGAAACTGAGAGCATAGTAACTTTATCCCCAGAATAAGCAGTGCAGCATATCCACAGGAACAAATGGCAGGTTAAAGGTTAGGTTTCTGGAATGTTGTTTCAACCTGTGTGGACATTAAGGGATATGTCATCTCACGTTAGTGGAAATGTCATCTCAAGATGGACAATGAATATCTCACAAAAGAAGTTATCATTGCACTTAAACTTGTCTCTTAGTGGTGTTCAGTAAAGGACAATCTACACAATAGATAAAAAAGAATCAGTGTCAAGTGACCAGCAAGCAGTGTCCAGTGGCTGCTAAATGATATCTAATGACCAGCACCTAAAGTGGCATGGCATTAAAGAATTGAATCATTTTGTTAAAAATTTTCCACTTTTTCTCTTCTCTATATTGTAAGAGACATTGTTCTGAAAGACACGCAAGAAAAAGACGTTAGAGATGATTCAGATAATTTTAATGAGTTTTAAAAGAACATATTTGCCATCTTCCACTTATCAATCTTAAATGAGATGGACTGAAAAGAACATCCCCTGAGGCAGTTGTTTTAAAGAGGACCCAGATGGTGATATGAGAAGATAATTAGCCTGGATAATATGATGCTGGACTTACAAGATCCCTTATTGATTTGTTATGAAAGAAAACAATATTTGATTGGTATTTCAATGCTGGTATTGTATTTGAAATTGGAGGAGGTACACTGTAGATAGTTTGATTGACACTTTGTTGCTGCATTAGAAAAAGAAAGTAATGGTGATGTTGTTCACTACAGTAATATCTGACCATTCTGTGTATGTGTCATCTCCAATATGACAGCTCTTTCTTTCACATTTCTTTTCCAGTGCAGGCAACAAGTTGAAATAATTGCAGATTTATTTAATGTTTTTGTTGTGATTATTTGAAATCAAATTTATAGGGGGAAAATAATTTAAAGGGAAAATGATATTACAGTGGTCTAGTACTGTAAAGAAATTTATAAAGAAATGGCAGAAGAAGAGAAATGAAATAATCTAGCAAGTGACTGCCATGAAAGAATCCTAATAGCTGTTTGAATATACACAGCACGAAGAAGATTCAGTAGATACAAGAATGACTCATGATTGCAAATCATAATTTTGTCAGGAAAAAATATATTAGCAGTTAGACATCAAAGGAGCTGACAGTAATACTAGGCATGGGGACAGCTGTGATCTGGCCAGACACGGAGACAGAATGTGTTGTACTGTCTGTGACCAGGGTCAGGAGGTTAGCTTTGTTGTGGCCCTGGTCCACTTCCAGTGGTCAATAGTGACCAGGTTCAGCTGGTTTTAGATGTCCGGTCAGGTACTATCATATGATCACCTGGACGTAAACTGTCCATGTTGAATTGTAGATGGTATTTTGCTTGCATGTATAAGTAGAGGGTTAGTGAACTTGTTGTCATGGTATGACACAAAGAGAAGGTTTGCCATTAACAGTGTAAAAAAAGGAAACATCGACAATAACAGTGATAAGGTCGTATTTGTAGCCAAGTCCTTATATACTATTCAGCCACCAGCTAATGCCCATAGTATGTCCACCAAATTTATGCCTTTTTTTGGTTAAGGTGCTAAACAAAATCCCGGTCCAAATTAATACTTTGAAACCTTCTGCAAAATTCTATATTTGCATCATTGTTTATACAGACTACATGCATTTTGTTTAGATATAATGTACATATGTATCTCGCCCTTCCTTTTCAGTATTTCTATTCCATCAAAGATATTTCTATTGGAGGACAGTGTAAATGCTATGGGCATGCCAGCAGTTGTCCAAGGAGTCCTGACACAGGGGTAAGGACAGTTGTAAAGTTTTTACTATTTTTAATTTAATGCAAATTTATAAATATTCAACGGCAGCATATAGTTTTTTGTAGTACGAAAGGACTGTATGCAAAGCTGTATGAGAAATGTAAAAAAATGGGTGTTGTAGAAACATATTCTATTTTGCTTTTTTTTAGAACAGAAGATTAGTTATTTTAAGTCAGTTAAAGTTAAAGAACAGATTAGTTATTTTAAGTCAGTAGAACTATATCACACAAGTAAAACAATATTTATGACAATTTCATTCATGTGTTATTTTGATCATTAGGGCATGATTTGTTGTGCACTGTTATATTAATTGACTTCGTTGAATTCCAGAAACTGATGTGTGTCTGTGAGGACAACACATGTGGGAAGAACTGTGAGAAATGTTGTCCAAAATTCAACCAGCAGCCATACAAACCTGGCACCTACAGGCAGAGGTCACTTTGTGAGGGTGAGATTTGCTGAGAATGTCTCATCCATATGTTCAAATAGAATTCAGGTTGAAGTACCCAGAATGGTTGTCGAGAGTAACCATGTAGTTTAATATTCTCTTTTTATTTTAATGATTTCAGAATGTCAGTGTTTTGGTCATTCTGATGAATGCTATTACAACCAGACTGTTGCTGACAACAGGCAGAGTCAGAACATAGCAGGGGAGAAGAATGGTGGAGGGGTCTGTATGAACTGCAGGGTAAGTTGAATGAGCTGTCTTGCTTCATTTTGTACTGGTAAGTAGTTTACTTGCAGTAACCACTTAGTGACTTTGAATGTTATGTACAGTACAGGTATGAAAAAAGACTAGTAGTTTGATAACTTTTGTCGAACAATCTGTCAATAAAAATATTTTGTTTTCTAAGACATTGGTAGATGAAATAAGATCACTGATACAACACAATACTTTGTAATGAAAAGTTGAAAATTCACCATTACCTTTACCCTTCATGCATTTTTTCCTTAGATTTGTTGCATTACATCTTTTCTTAACTACAACAGGATAATCTGTATTAAATATGTTGTAAAATCATTAGGACCATACAACAGGAGTGAACTGTGAGCAGTGTGAAGCTGGTTATTACAGGACCACTGATGATCCCCGTGAACCCTGTCAGCCATGTCAGTGTAGCCAGCTGGGGTCTACAGGAACCTGTGTACAGGATAATTCTAGAAGAGGAGAGGGATTGGTGAGAATTAAAATATCATGAACATAACATGTACAGAGTGTTTTGTACAGAAAGCAGTAAGGAAAAATAGCAAAAATACTAATATCTCAATGAGTATAATGTTTAAAATGGAAATTTATGTACTTGTGCCCCCCCCCCCCAAAAAAAAAGGGCTTCTTTTTAGATAATTAAAAAAAATGTTGCTTTAAAGTTTTCTTAATCTATTCAGATGCCTGGTGATTGTATCTGCCGTGTTGGTTTTGGTGGCAGGAACTGTGACCGCTGTGCATCAGGATACAAGAACTTTCCCTCATGTATTCCATGTCCCTGCAGTCGGGCAGGCAGTCGTAATGTGGACACCTGTCAGGGAGACTGTATTTGTAAGGTAGGTGTCATCAGTAAGCAAGGGGATATTCAGCAGATGACAGTGCAGATGTGTGTGCTAAGTTGTTTTTTAAAGGTTGATACTGCATGGCACAGAGAAGATCACTGTGGTGTGGGTATGTGTGAGTGCCCATTTTTTTTCCAGAACAGTGTGACAAGAAATGCAAATAAATTTTTTTTTCAGCAGTATATTGAACACGCTTAAGTGTAAATATGTAGATCATTTGTGAAAATAAAAAAATAAAACATTTTTTATAAAATAACCACTTTTTTTTTCAGCCTAATGTAGTTGGAGAGAACTGTGACCAGTGTAAACCTGGATTCTTCAACATGGAGGCCAGCAATCCTGCAGGCTGCATGCAGTGTTTCTGCTTTGGTATCTCACAGAACTGTCGAAGTGCTGGATGGGGACAGTCACAAGTAAGTGTCTTATGTTGGGGGCTGTTTTAGAAAAAAATAACACCAAGTTCAAATCTCTTACCCTTACCCAACTCGTCTTTCAATGAATTTTTGTTTCAAAAGAGCAGGGACGTTGAAGTCTCTATCACCATCTTAACAATTATGTATATAAATACTCAGCCCCACCACTACCTAAATAGTTGACAGATGTGCTGTTGAATAGGATGAAGGACAAGTAGAACCCTCAGTTAAGCAACATAAAACAGGAAGAAATAACTAGAAATGGCTTTTAGGAAGAGTGTCCTCACTTCTGTCCTCTTCCCTGAAATTGACCATGAAGTGACATGACATGACCAAGCTAAAACATATCAATAGAGAAATATTTTGTTTGGTGTAACAGGCATCACTCAGTATGGTGTCTGTGTCTCTACCCCCTTCCACTGCCACTGGCATTAAGTATAAATTGCAGTGACAGGTGACAGTAAAAGGTATGTATTATCATAGGACATGTAGTTATTAGAGGTACTGGTGACACACTTGCCTCTGGGTTTATCGGACAATATTCTCCTCCCACCTCTTACCATGTTCATTCACAAACTGAATGCAAGATCCATTACATATATTGTGAAAGATCAGCTTTAATTTCTCTGCAGAAGATGGCCTTTAGCATCATTTTTATTAGTTAATTTATTGTTCGTGAATATCCTTCAGGATTTTTGAAATTACATATATCAAATGTAAGGAATAAGTTGTTCATAGACATGCCCCATGAAATAGTGTGATTCTTTAGAAAAATGATTTCCCAGTTCAGAATTTTTCCCCAATTTTATATTCCATGGTGATGCACTGTGATGAGGTCATACTTATTTGAGAGCTTCTCTCTTTGTTTTCAAGTCAGCTCTGTAAATCAACAACAAATACTCACTCTTCTCACAAATAAAAGACTTTTGAAATGATACTTAAAATTATCAGTGGACATTTTTTGATAATGTAAAACCAGCACTTTTATTGGATTTCTAGTTCTCACTGTCATGAAGGGTAGAATGTTTTACAAAATATTCTCTTTTATTTACCTTACTGAATTTAAGTTGTCTACAATTCAATTAGATTTCCTGTGGGTAAGGTTTCTGTTTTTTAAACAGACAAAAGCAGTTAAAGGAAACATGGTAATAAATGGGGCTAAAGAGTCTCATTACAGGGTTATTACTAGCAATTTGTGTCTCCCCTCTAGGGCCCACTGTCTGTCGTCTGCTCTGTAACTGTTAGTCCACTGCTTTGTGACACCATGGCAAAGTGACTGCAGGGGCTTGAGTGTCAGTTATGGCTGTCTGCACTGTGGCTTAGGAATAAAGTGACTGTTTATTTATGTCTGCATTTTAACTCTGATCTTATCTGTGTTTGTAATTTAAAACCTAAATAGAGCAATAGATTGTTTATCATTGTATGTTTTTATGGGAAAAATAGAGTTAAGGCTAATAAAAGGGATAGAGTTTATTGAAAATGTAACCCATGTGAGTCAGGCAACATCCCCTGCTAACCTGCCTGTGTGTTTAAATGCAAAATGTTACATAAAAAGTGTAATAACATGTGTTGACTTTGTCTAATTGGAATATATTTCATATATTTTACATTCAAGGTTGTATCACTTTCTTATATGTATTTTTATAAATTATACTCATCTTTTCAGATTTCCAGTCTGGAAGGCTGGAGAGTGACAGATTTGAGAGGAAAGAAATATGTTGTCCCCAGTCTAGAAAATGGTCGCCTGACAGTTGATCATGATAATACAGAAGTTGCAGGACTGAATCCAGTGTATTATTGGCATGCTCCAGCCCCATATGCTGGCAGCAAGGTAAATGTTAGGCCACATCTTAACATCCTGGTGCAACCAGCACAGTGACACCTGTAACACACTAGGTCACCTAACACATTGGAACACATTTTACAGTCAGTATACTAAATATTCAGCTTATAGGCTGGATGATAAGAGTGAAACACCAACAATTGCACATCTAGCACATGTTAACCATTAACACACAAGAAAACCTAGCATACAATTTATAAGATAGGGCACAATGACATGTTCAAGATATTAGGAACAGCTAACACCTTTCCAAAATTGTTCATTAAAAGTGATTCAGGGGGTAAATATGTGTATGGACATCTTCGGCTTCCAAGTCTGTAATGCTGCCCAGTGCTTGGATTTTGAATTTATCTTGCTATAGATATCCCACAAAAAGCATATTGGTTAGATCTTTGTTTTTACGCATATATATATTCTTGTAGACCATTGCATTTTCCTGTCTGATCCCCATTATGTTCAAAGATCCCAGTTGAATGTTTTTAGCATTATAGGATAAGGGTATTCTGGACGCATGCATGCAAACGCTCCCTTTGATTTCAGTATTTGAGATGAAGGAAAACATAAGAAATTAAAAAGTCAAAATAAAAAAATCATTTGCAATATCAAAATTGGTCCCGAAATCTAAACATTGCTTTTTTTTTTACTCATTACTCATAATTAAAATACAGAAATGTTTTAATATAAATTTTGCAAAGAATGATTTGTTTGCTTTTTAAATTTAATTTTGGATTTTTTGCTATAACACAAATATTTGCTATCTGAAGGATTTGCTTTGACAGTTCTGTATGGATTGAAGCATATGGCATGTTTGCTTGGGGGTCCGTTTCTTTTTAAATGGGTCATAGATATGATGTTTCTTTTAGTTGTAGTTGGTTTTATTTGGTTTGAATGACTGGGTGATGTACAGGAGTTGACAGCTATTTGGAAAACATTAAAAAATATATATACCATTTTTTTTAGAAAAAAATCTTCACAATATTACAATTGCCTTTGGAAAGCATCTTAGTAAGATATTTATTTAGCTCATAGTCATCTTCTGTATATACCTATTTCAACTTGGTATCATCCTTAGTTTATTGATTTTAGTTTGACTTTTGACCTACATTTTTTAGTCTGACCTTTGACCTTATTTTGAACTCCAGGCTAACTTTCTTGGTAACAAGGTAAGACTGGGTAATCTAGGTGGCTAGCTGTGTGCTTAGGTTGCTCACTCATGCAGCAGTTGTAGCCTAGTATTGGACAGTGGGACTTGTGATATTTGTTTCATTTTCCAGGATCAGTCAGTCAATGTTTCTGTGTATAGTGGGACAGGTTTGATGCAGACAAGATGTGTTTGATATAATGTACAATGAAGCAATTATATGGAGATCAGCATTTTATGACAATCGCTATAGTGTAAAGCCTAATTTCAAATCAGTTTCTCATTTCACAGATAACAATCTTTGATTTTTGCTTTGATAGTGAAGCTACCCACTGATCTCTTAAAGCTATAATTGCACGGTTTTTAAAAATATGATTGTGCCAAACGTCAAGCATGTCTTGCCTGCATTTTTTGTGTTCAGTGTCTTGTCATATTGTCTGTTAAAAGTTTTGTTCCCTAATTGTGTATTATATGTTCTTGGCTTGATTAATCTTTATTTTTTTACAAAAATAAGATGTTTAAATATTATTATCCTCTGAATTTGACAGCTGTTTGGCAAATTAATTCTTAATCCATGGGGTTTGGATAACATGTGAAAAGTTGCTCAAAAACGATTCATTTATTTTGGAAAAGAAATGAAAAAATATATTTAAAGCCATCATTTGTTTTTAGTCATGTGGAAGTTGGTGAAGGGGTGTGTGCTATATATAAATATATATTTATTCACTTGCATATTTTTTATGTTTGTTATTCATCCAAATTCTACCTTATAACAAGTGGTTTGGTTCTGATATTCAGATTTATAGTGTGAATTGATCTTTGAGAATTTTGTAAATACCAGGGGGTTGACACCCAATTATTTCGTGTATCATACCTGGCTTATAATTACTTAATGTTGTATATTTTAATTTGTAATCACATGCATGATGCTGAGGAATTAACCAGCATGACTGATTAGTTGAAATTTTTTATGCTGTTTGTCTTAGTCATACATTAGTACTATAGATTATGCATGTAATTAAAGTCTCGTGAAATTGTTCTTAAATGAGATAGTTGAATGAGATTGTTGGAGAGAGAGAGAGAAAACGCATCTTTATGTCCCATTTGTCATGGAATTTGTTGGCTGTATTTAGTTTTTATTAAAAAATTCCAAAAACTAGTATTTATATAGCTACTTATTTTCTTGAATGCAAGCAATCAAACTTTCAAATCGTGATATCTGGCTTGACACCACAACTGTATGTATGTATTTTTTAGTAGAAATTATTAAGGATGCTGCAAAATCTGTTTGGGATGACCTTTAAATGTTCATATTCTACATGATTATGCATTGAATATTAACTTCATAACCTGTTTTCTACCTAGCTTGCCTCCTATGGTGGTAACTTGACCTATTCCATGTACTATGTGGTCCAGCGATTAGAAGATGTTAACACAGCATACACTGCAGACTTGGATGTAATAATGGAAGTAAGGAACTTTTTATGCAAAACATTTTTTAAGAATGTGTACCGGAAGACTTCATACTTAGGGAAATGAATGTATACTTGTCTGAGAATTAGCAATGCATGTAGTGGAATAATGAAAGCCATGATAGACTGCATGTTTATTTATTTTGTTCAGAAGTCAGAAGATCAGACGCAGAATATTCAGCTTGTAAATATTTTGAAAAGTGCATTGATTAAACTTCCACATAAATAAGGTATCCGTCCTTGAAATGTTACCACCTTTAGATATCCAGTGCACTATGTAATTCTTTATAGGGAAATGAGCTGCTGATTGGCTATGGAGGCCGGTACTACAGGGAAGGACTGGAGAACACTATGCAAGTCTTCTTGACAGAACGGGACTGGTATCACGTTGATCCTGACACAGGGTTACCAAAGCAACAGATTGTTACCAGACAAGAATTCATGACTGTGTTGGCCAACATTGAGCGCCTCCTGATACGAGCATCCTATCACATCCACCAGACACAGATTCAGTAAGAATTTTGTCAGCTGTTTTGTTTTGTTACCATTATTTGACCACTGTGCATCTTTTATAGTTGGGCACAAAATGATTGGGCAGTTAGAAATTCAAATACCACAGTAGTTACAATAATGTATAGTTATATGTGTCCTCCACATATCAGTATATACTGTTAATTGATATTCTGGTAAGTAAAAAGTGTAAGCAATAACAACATATTTTGTCTGTAAGATCATGATGTTATAAATGCATACCAGATATGATTTCATGTGTTTTTCCTCAACATTTTAGATTTCTTGATATGGCCATGGATGTGGCTGTGGAGAACTCTACCTCACCCTCTATCATGTCCTCTGTAGAACAGTGTTTTTGTCCTAGAGGATACTCAGGCTTGTCTTGTGAGGTAACGCTATGTTTGATATGGCATTATTATTGAAAACCTTTTTTGAAAGTTATTGATTTTTTATTATTTGTTGCATGAAATGTAAAATTTGGCTTCATTGAATGCTAAGAAGAACATAGAAGTTAAGTAAATGTAATATTCAAATTGTTTAAGATTTTATATGCAGGCTTAAGCTTTATTGTTTTCATTTTAAGAAGTTAAATTGTTTTTTGCTGGCTTTGTATAGTTTGCTTCGTGTGGTGTTTTTGACATTTTCTCCTTTAGCTTCTTTGAGTTTGCACCATATATAATGCTCATGCTTTGCTTTATCTGTTTGTGATGTGTTCCCTTTACTTTTATTGTGTTGTGTTGTCTTTTTCAAATGTGTTTTTGGCTTAGAGATTTTGGAAGGGGAAGGGATATGAGGGGAAAACCAATGTCTTAAAAGTTGTAGTACTATACTGAAGGTGACCAAACTGGAAGTGAACACAAGCTACAAGAAGTTGAAATAATTTAAGTGCCTGGAAGAATGTCGAAGGGGGGAGAAGTATTAAAGACTGCAAACAGAACAGTTCAGCACATCACTGTGAATGATGTATCAGATATATTGGTTTTGCACTGTGACTAAAATAATTTAATCATTTTTAATGCATTTGATGATGGAGGAACATATAAGAAGGTAAAGGTAAAAAATTATAACAAAACTTAAAAATTATGAACTGTACAATATCATGTGAAAGAGATGGACAGATTTATACAGATGACTCTGATATGTATTTCATGTTGATTATTTCTTTCCTGCCTTTCAACAGTTGACAGAGACTGGAGAGAAACATATTGGGAATATGAGTCAGGTGATTTTGTGAAAACATAAATGGGGATTTTACAAATGCTGTAATTTCAGTTAATAACAGAATCATTGTGGCACCAGCATTTTTTATTTGTAATTATGGTTAAGGTTCTAAAAATGTCTTATTAAAAGAATGATAATGAAATAGACTGTCATGTAAATGCTGGTGCTATCAATACGAAACTAAATGCATGACTCTGTTGCGATGCGCAAAATGCGAAGGAATTTTTAAATAGCTGAGCAGTAGCTTAACCTAGAATTTGAAATAACTTAAGTAAAGATGGATTGAAGCAGTATTCAATATTCAGGTTCAGAAAGGCAGATACTGGTCAGTGTTAGGGAATTAAAGATTGTGAGACAAAAATAATAAATAAAAACATTTAGTTATAGAAGATGCTAACTACTTGGTCAAATGGAGAGACATTGGAGAGTAACCGGTTTGTGATCTAGGATCAGAAAAAAACTCATTTAGAATGGGACAATTATAGAAAACTAGAAAAATAACAGAAACTGTCAACAAAAGGGCAAAAAGTAGTTATTGTAGAATGGTCTTGTGTTCACATCAAGAAAATAACATTGATGACTTATTGGTGTCAGAAAAGTAGACATTTTGTAGATATTTTGTTTTTGAGTGCTTTTTATTTTTTAAGTTTTATATTTTGTTTTGGGCAAGGGTTTATGCATTTGCTTGTTTTGTCTTGTGATGTTCTGTCAGCTAATCAACTCATACCTCTACCACTATCTTATATTATATTTTCTAACTTGCATCTACTTTAGACAGTCTTCACCTTGAATGTTAAAAGTCTTCTCTTGTTTTAATGAACATATGTAAGTGAGTCATTGAACAATTATAGAAAATGTGTTTATTCGTAAATAAATGTTTCCTTATTTGTACTTGCATATTATATGGACTCGTATTAACATGTATTTTTAATAATTGGTTATTGTTCTGTTAAATCAATGTTATATGTATTTGTTTAACAATATTGTTGATTAGATACATGTTTACACGCAGTCATTAAGAATTCACAAAGAACAGATATTGTTCACAGACTAACAGGGTTTTTTAAAGTGGAGAATGCATGTCAATAGAGTCACTTAGAACATACATGCCAAAACAGACATCATATACATTCTAGTTAACCAGTCATTAAGAAGGACAAAGGGGACATGGCCAGTTGTTATTATAATGATTACAGTAGATTCACTAATGTAGATGTTTATGACAGAATATTAACCCCATCCACATGCTAACTACGTAGCTGTAGTGTATCTGAATGATAACAATGTTCAAATTTTGTCTTGACCCCTGCGTAGCAGGGGTGTTGTAGATGATAGTAACACAGACAGCCTCTGTCCTTGTGTTTGTGAAGAACTGACCACATCAAGATAACTGTTTACATTACTCCGCTAGCACTGGTGTCATATCATTGTGGTGTGACAGTTATAAGCCACGCAGATAAGATGATGAATAATGGTCTCTTTAAAAAGATAATAATGTACATACTCAGGCTTGGCTGTGTTGGTATCTCATCTATATTTCAATATTGAAGTGGAAAAGTTTGGGTCTTGGGGTTTATTAACTATGATGTGCTTTGCGATCTCCTGGGTGAAAATATTTGTTGTAATTTTAGTTTGCCATGCATCATGCTTGCAGGTGTGTGAGCGTGGACACCGTCGTGTGAACGACGTGCTGTATGGTGGAATTTGTGAGCAGTGTAATTGTAATAACCATGCTGATACCTGTGAGGCTTCTAGTGGGCTCTGCACTGTAAGTACAATACCAAATGTTTGACAAGATATCACTATTAAACCTAGCACATGTGTATCTAACACAGTCACATCCTACTCAAGAATACAATATTAAGTTGAATCTTAAAAGTAATTGTACGTGTACCAGTGATTGATGGAAAAGATTAGAGAAATTATGGTAAGAGGATATTCCATAGCAACAAAATAAAATGTATGTAAAATGTATGAATTTTGTCATAAAACGAGCATTATTTTCATATGCCATACAGTAATACTTATTTTACTTTTATGCTATGAGCCAAGGCTAGACCTGTTTTAACATTAAAATCATTATCACTGTCAGATATTTTTCCTATGTTTCACTTTGTTCTTTCAGAGTTGCAGAGACAATACTGTAGGACCACATTGTGAGAATTGTGAATTTGGTTATTATGGCAATGCTACTAGAGGCACTCCCAATGATTGCAGACCATGTGCTTGTCCTTTGGCAATCAGCACCAATAACTTTGCATCGAACTGTATGGCAGCTCCCCCTGGCTCTCAGGAAGAGTACTTCTGTGTGTCTTGCCCTGATGGCTATATTGGAAACCATTGTGAAATGTGAGTATTCCTGTTTCTACACTTCAAACATGAGACACACTTGAAGAAATTTGATTGTCTTATTTATCTTAAATTAATAGAAGGTTTTTTTCCGTCTGTTCAAGTCCAGGTTAATATCACATCCTTTAAATTCTGCGGTTATCTTCATTCATTGTTTTTGCACTTGAATAAACTGAAGTACCTTCTCTATGGGACATGCACTGAGAACTTCAGTTTGTATCAAACTTGATAGATATTTAGATTATAGATATATATAGTCAGGTATTTTAACAGGTCTTAAAAAACTTCAGTTGGGAAATAGTATACGTCATAGAACCTGTGCGAATTTGAATTCTGCATGTGTTAGATGTGAGGGACTGGGTATGAGTTGTGACAGTTTGTATTTGCTACAAATGTTTTATCTCTTTTTTAGGTGTGATGATGGTTACTTTGGTAACCCCTTGGTCCCAGGCAACTATTGTCAGCCTTGTGCTTGCAGTGGTAACATCAACCCCAATGCGGTAGGCAACTGTGATCGTACGACAGGACAGTGCCTCAAATGCCTCTTTAATACTGAAGGCTGGAACTGTGCACAATGTAAACCAGACTATTATGGGATGGTGTATGGAAAGGGATGTAAAGGTTTGTGCTTGGCATGCAGTAACTGCTTTTGAAATGGTATAATATTGAATTATAAAAAAGTTTTGATTTTAAACAGTGCAGACTCCTATTAAGTTCCAACCGATGATACAAGTCACAATTGCAACTAAAAATTATGCTGTCATTGTCAATTTCCATGTACTTAGAATGAATGCTCTGATGTAAAATAGTCTCTTCACAATTAAAATCAGAGACAATTTTTTCCAGAGTGTGACTGTAACCAGTATGGGTCTACAGGTACCTCCTGTGATCAGAGGTCAGGCCAGTGTTCCTGCAGACCATACTATGAAGGCAGGGCATGTGACTCTTGTGTGGTGAGTATACACTGTCTGGCATAGCCCACAGGGGTGTGATACAACACATTTACATATATCTAGACGAAATTGTTCCACTGGGATGACATCTCATTTTCTGTTTGAAGTAGTATAATAACCATGTACCTTTTGCTCACCAAAACTCATTCTGTTTTAATGGGTTTAAAGAGTTTTGTATTAAAACTTACACCTTAGTGGTTGCCAGTCTTGTTTTAAAGTTTGGCTGTAGGATTGTTGATTTGGCTATTGTGTATTTTTCAGTGTCAACTAGACTGACAATAACTTGTTTTTAAATTTTCACGAACTTCTGTTGCCATCTTTGTTTTTCAGGCTGGCTATGGTAACATTATAGCAGGTTGTCCTAGGTGTAGCTGTAACTTGACTGGGTCTGTGTCCAACCTGTGTGACCAAGTCAGTGGACAGTGTCCTTGTAAAAATGGTGTGGGTGGTCAGTACTGTGGCTCATGTCTGCCTGACCACTGGGAGTATTCTGAGGAAGGGTGCAAAGGTGAGTTATATGTGGTCTATTTCAATAGTTTGTTTTTTCTTGCCTCCTATACTAAATGGAAAAAAAGATGTCTTAGGGGATCACTTTTGTTACCATAGCATTTTCAAAATTTTGGCAGTAAATGAGAACAACGTGGCACTTTTTTGTGCAGCAATAAGTAGCAAAAGCTCAATTTAATTGTTGACAATTGCATGCATGTGCAAATGTTAAATCAAATGTCAATTCCTGTGCATGAAATATCACTGACAGTTGAGACTTATCATAGTAGATGGGATACATGTAGAAATATCCTTTCATATGAATCATATGAATTTTTTTTGAAGAGTGTTAATCTAATTAACAATACTGTGGTTGCTGATTGTGTATTCCAGCCTGTAATTGTCACCTGAAAGGTTCTAATGACAGCCAGTGTGACTTGGTGACAGGGACATGTACCTGTCAACCTAATGTGATAGGAGACAAATGTGACCAGTGTGAGGTAGGCAGTGTTAACTCTCACAAATGAAAAATTTTGAAGATAGCGATTTTTCTGGCCATGGTGCTTATGTTAAAGTAGTTGCTTTATTGAGAAAGATTAGGAAACAGTGGCCAAAGTGATAGTTTTATGTTGGTGTGGAAAGTGTAGCATATGTAACCACAATTCAGAGTTTTGAGATGATAGAATGACGCAAACTGTCATCAGCATTTGATTATAGCAAAATTGTAAAGCACAAAGGTTGCTACATTTGACTTTGAAAGATAATTTTATAAAAATATTCACACTGCTCTCTGTAATTAGAATTAATCACAAACAATAATATTGTACTGTTCCTAATTTTTGCCACTGTTTCAGATCAACTACTATGACTTAGACTCTGGCAATGGCTGTCAATCATGTGACTGTGATGTGACAGGTTCCACCTCACTGCAGTGTGGCATGACCAGTGGTCAGTGCCCCTGTAAGCCAGGAGTGACTGGACAGAAATGTGACCAGTGTAGACCAGGATACTATGGATTCTCTTCAAATGGCTGCACAGGTAACAATTAACACAGTTCTGTTCAGTTTTCAAGTCAACCACCTTAGCTTGTGCACTGATTCAGCATGATTTACTAATGTGCAGAAATATATTTATACCATTTAATTAATACTTTTTTTCTTCTCCAGAATGTCCTGTGTGCCCTGTGGCTGGGCAGGTGTGTGATGCAGTGACAGGAGAGTGTGTGTGTCCCACCAATACTGAGGGTGACAGGTGTGAGCGCTGTGTGCCAGACACCTGGGGACATGATCAGCTGTTAGGATGTAAGGTAAGATGTAACAGGTGTCAACAAGGATAGAAATACTTAATGCCACTAATTATTAAGAAGGGGTGTGTGTTGCAGTGAGTTTTTGAAATAAGAGTTTGATGTACCAAAAAGCTTTTTGATTTGTGCTGAAATTATTAAATTTGAATCCCTCTTATGAGGGTAATAAAAAGGAATGGGAAAATACTCCTTTTATATATATTTAGCAATAAATTTGGGTGCTCATTTAGTTAATGAAAATTTTTAAAAGATATTTTCATCATTTTTGTGAATTCAAGAAAAAATGTATGTATATTTTCTTTTTCTTTGCATTCAGCAATGCAACTGTAACATGACTGGTTCCCTGGACACTCAGTGTGACACTGTGGATGGTCAATGTGAGTGCAGACCAGAGTATGATGGCATGAAATGTGACATGTGTCGCTTTGGCCATTTTGGATTCCCTAACTGCCGTCCTTGTCACTGTAATGAGAATGGAACCGTCATGTCTGACTGTAATGCCAAAGGTCACTGTCAGTGCCAAGAAGATGGACAGTGTCCTTGCAGGGTAGGTTTAGGCTCTGTCAACATGGGGGTGATGTGTTGCCAAAATGACCAAAAGAAAAAGTTTTTACGTAAGAAATTGGTTGTAACATGAGTGAAAGGTACACATTTTTAATCATTTATAGAGTAAAATGTAGAATAAGTAAGATCTGATTAACATCATATCAATTAATTTATTTTAGTCATTATATTAGATTGATTAATATATATTTATTTGGCATGGATTTTATTGTATGTAGGTTTTTAGTTACAAATTGTGTATTGTCATTTCTTAGGGGAATGTTGAGGGTTTGAAGTGCAAACACTGCAAAGAAGGCAGCTTCAGTCTGCAGTCCAACAACCCTGAAGGCTGTACTTCCTGCTTCTGTTTTGGAAAGTCAAACATTTGTGAACAAGCTCAGCTCACATGGAACATGGTAAATGTGGTGGTTAAGAATGCCTGTTTAAGCTATTTAGGAAGTTGTGTATATTATTTCTGGTTGCCCGAGTCAAAGTTAATGAGGGACTGAGACTGTTTTAAATAAATATTTTTAGGAAGCTTGTTTATTGACAGCAATTTATCAGTGAAGCCAATGTAAAGTAAACACTGTTTAATTTTTAAGATATTTACAATAAAAAATGCATCAACTTCTTAAGAACAAAAAAGTAAATATTCCTATTTGGGTTATTGCCTTTTAAAAAAACAGCCACTTCAATATGTCCGCTTCATTAGAGATGGAATAGAGGGTTTAGGTTGACATGAGTCTAATGTTATTTTTAGTAAATGTCTTATTTTACACAGCATAAATTGAAATGTATCACGTTTTTTTTTAAGACTGAAATGCCTACAAGGAGTGTAAGAGTGCAACTTGATGGTGTGTCAGTGACCACAATTGAACCAGCCCTTCATGTAATCCCTCCAGATGCAGATGCCATCTTTGTCACTTCACCTGATGAGGAGCGCCCTCTATACTGGAGTGCACCCAGGAAGTTCCTGGGTGATAAGGTTAGGAGGTTATAGCTGTGACAAATTGTGGGTGAAGAATGTGATATGTGATTAGATGATAAACAAATTGAATTGTCAAAGTTGGAAGAAAAAATTTTGAAATTAAAAATGGATGCATGTATGTCAGCAAAAGAGATACGACCTTGCAGTATTAAAATAAGGCAACTGATGCTAGTGTCAGTAGTCAAATTAATGCCTATCTGAGATTAAAAAGTGTTGATTTAAGGCCTGCAGTATTTTAGTTCTTTCTTCTTTCAGACCTTGTCTTACTATGGCAAGCTGAAGTTTGTGATCTACTTTGAAGATCAAGATTCCCTGAACACACTCCCTATCCCCATAGTAGACCATTCTGAGTACAGAAGATTCCCACTTGTCCGTATTACTGGGAATTTCCGTGTGGTCCTGGACTACTTTGCTCCATTGACTCCTGGAGTGGAGAATGAGTTTGAGATTTTTCTGAGAGAGGTAAAATATGTTTTTGTTGTTATATATAAACACACCTTTATTGTTCATCATCAAGTGGCAAATCAGATTGATTTTGTGTGATGATCTAGATGTGATATAATATTAAGATTGTTTCTGTTATCTCCAGGACCAGTGGACAGACCCCCTCCAGCCCAGCAAGCCAGTCACCAGAGAGATGTTAATGGTGGGACTGCAGAATTTACAGAGCATCAAGATACGAGCATCAGGGAATTCTAATCTCAAATATGCTGAGTAAGTAGACAGGTTGTCAAGTGGTGATGCCTAACTGAAACAATGATAACTTATCAAGATTAAGTTCTTGTAATACAGGATAGACTGAGACAAGGTTCACGATGGACTGGGGTTTTTGACTGCTTTAATTATTGCTTTAAAGTAAAGCATTTTTATAAAAAGGGCACTTAAATATGTTTTGGTAAATTGTTATTTGACTTAAAAAGTTCTAAGCTTGGTTGCTAGATTGATGTCATTATATTTATGTGGTTCTTTAAAAACAACCATTGTAAATTATAGGATCCGTGGGTTGAGTCTGCAGCATGCCACCAATGCCAGTGCAGGAGAGGCTGCTCTGGGTGTGGAGAGGTGCCAATGTCCACCTGAGTATGCAGGACATTCTTGTCAGGTATAATGTGACAGATGTGACAGTGAGGGAGACAGTTGATAGTGTGCTACGTATGGCAGTGTGCTAGGTGTGACAGAGTGATAGTATTAACAATTTCTGTCTGTTTCACACCACAGAGTTTAAGACAGGTACTATAACTGGGGTGTAATTGTATGTTTGATGTTGTGCCTATAGGAGATTAAATTGGTGCGATCAGTATATAGGACTGTGTTTCAGCATGATGCTTTTTAATGATTGTGCTGTTATGCATCTTGAGCCAAGAGTTTTGTTGAGTTCAATATAATAGTAAGTTAAAGATATAAAATTACATGTTATATATAAACGTATTAATTATGGAGATGAGTTTAATGCTGCAGTATGTTATAGAAGGTGCATGGTGTTTAAGGAACCTACCTTTCAACTCTAAATTGAACTCTTATTCAGGATCCAGCCCCTGGCTACTTTCGTTTCTTCCCATCCAGTAACCTTGAGGAGCCTGAGCTTATCAAGCTGTTAGGAATCAGCAAACCCTGTGAGTGTCATGGCCACAGTGACATGTGCAATAAGGAGACTGGAGTCTGCTTGGTAAGGAAAAACTTACTTCTTCATAACTGCTTTATTTTGTTCTCAAATGGAGCAATTTTGATTTCATTTTGACTCAAAATATTTTTTCCAATGATTGCGATCAGTGCAGTTACTCTTAACTCCTTAATGTATCATTACTTCAGCAGTCACACCTAACACAACCATAACCTATAACTACTTTCAGAACTGTGCTCACAACACAGCAGGTGACCACTGTAATACTTGTGCTGAAGGTTACTATGGAAATGCCACATCAGGGCGAGAGGATGCCTGTCAACCATGTGGATGTCCCAGACTGGAACCACAGAATAAGTAAGTATAATCGTCCTGTGTACCCCTTGTAAGATAAAAGAAAAACCTTTATCATAGAAGACCATTATTATTTATGAAGTTTAATAAGAGATAGCCAGACTTATTTGTGTTTTTTCACTTGTAAGATGTAAAATTATAATAATTTGATTTTAAGCCTGTTCTCTTCAAAATGTTTTTGCACAAAAATTTTGCATTATTACATAACATGCATAAAAATATTTGTTTGTGCATTTTTGGCAAATTCAGTTTTAGGTGTTCTTGTTTTCTTCAGTTTCAGTCCCACCTGTGTGACCAATGCCACAGCCGATGGATATGTGTGTAATGCCTGTCCAAGGGGATATGAAGGAGATCACTGTGAACGGTAACATCTCATTAGCTTTGTGATTTCTTTGTTATTTTGTCACTTCACTCTTTAGCATCTGAAGTAAAACTTTGCAATATGTATTATATTTTTTAATGCTGTTTCATTTGAAATGTCCACAAATTACTCTATTTGAAGATCTTATGCAATAAGTATTTTTATTGGACTTACTTAAAATTGTTTCAGATGTTCTGACTATTTCTATGGTGATCCTACCAAGCTGGGTGGGGAATGTGTACCATGTGACTGCAGTGAAGATGGTTCATTGGACAATCTTTGTGACAGGGAGAGTGGCCAGTGTATCTGTCACCCTGGGGTACTGGGCAGGGCCTGTGACCAGTGTCAGCCTAGATATGCTGTTGTTAATGGAAGATGTAAATGTAAGGCACAAAAATTCTATTTTTTGTTGCATTCTTGGCATCATCATTGTTTCAACTTTTATTTAAGCTGCATAGATTTAATGCCAATCTTAGCAGTACTATCAAACAAGTTGCCTCTATAGGTAATGTACATTATATGTGGCAAGATGTCAGAAATATCAAAATTACCAAAATAGTGTAATTCACTTATGTATGATTTTGCTTTACTCAATACATACATATACAATGTACATAACAAGTCAGTATTGTTTAACAAATTGCCATTTTAGCCATTTGCTGTTACCCTTGGATTTTTGTGTTTTATATTTTTAATTCATGCCCTTGTATTCAATTTTTATAAGCATATAACCAGAGACTGTATATTCTCTATATTTTACAGCATGTGATGTTGGCTGTACCAGAGACTTAATGGTGGCAGTAGATGAGATGGAGGTGATGGTCAGAGGGGTCAACACGTCCACCATGGTGGTAATTCCATGGGAGAGATTCTTTGCCATGGAGAACAAGACCCAGGTTCTTAGGGTAAGTGTATTAGTTGTATACCACACAGGAGAGGAATTATGATCTCCTGAGTCATCAGGTACCACTGTCAGAATGTTTCACAAAATCAAGATAATCTGAGTGTGATGGCAGTACTTCTTTGGACATTTGATTAGAGGTACCAGCAACATGCATGGTAAAGTGTTAGTTTGCATGGCTGGGTAAATGGGCGGTGATGTGCAAATTTGATTTACTTTGATTCACAGCTATATTATATAGGAGTTAATCTTACATAGAATACAACCATAACCTATAGCATAAAGTGATGACAAAGAAGCACCAAGAGAATGACTATATCCCCTTGTCAAATTCCAGGGCAAATTGGATGCTATAAGGAAAGTCAAAGTGGGAGATATGGAGGTCATTGTTAAAGAGCTTCAGGCCAATGCCACCAAGTTATATACTCAGGTAGGGCATAGAGGCCAACTGCTTCTGTCATTTTGAGGACTTTATTTATTGCAAAGGGTTAGAATTTTGTGGTTACTTATATTGGTACATACTTCCACGTTTTATGCACTGAAAAAGAAAATAGATTTCTTATGTCAGAAATGTCATGATTGTACATAACTTTGCACTAAGGAATTACTTAACTGTTTATTGTGTTGTACAGACTTCCAGTATGGCAAATGATGCAATGGGTTATAGCATGGTGGCATCAAACCTAAGCAAAACTGCAGATGGTATGGAGAAAGAGATCAGAGAGATAATAACTTCAGCCAGAGGTGAGAATAAGTCATGGAATATTGAAGTGCCATATTACCAAACACATCTTACCTGTATTGACAAAACTAGTAGATAGTAAAAGTAAATGACATATTTATAATTTGTCAACTGTATATTTGCCAGTGAATTTGAGAGTGCACAGTGACAGATTTGAATTAACCAGGAAATCAGAAGCAATATTACATGATTAATATTGTTGTAGTTTATTTTGCTTTGACTTTTGTTTATCAGATCTCCTAGACAACCTCCCAGATGTACATCAGTTGTCTGGTAATGTCAACCTGACCTCAGTAATGATGAAGGCCCAGGACATAATGAAGATGATCAGAGAGAGGGATTTCAAACCTAATATTGAGAATGCTGATAATGAGTTGGAGTAAGTTACCCAGTTAGATAAAGTCATATTTTAAATGAGTATTTTGTACTAAAGTGGGCCATTCATACAATTGCTAAGGATCAATTTAGATGAGCGGGAAGATCATCATCCAGAAATGGAACTGCATTTCAGTGCACCAGATGGTTACTTAAAAAAACTAATCATTTTTTCAAATGACTAATACATGGAGAGAATTTCTTCAATAATTCATCAATTTTTGTTCAGATTGGCCAAGGCACTCAAGTCCAGTATAAGTGACCTCCAGTCCAAGCTGACCAATGTGACTGATGCTGCCATTAGCATCCAGGAGCTGGCTGACCGATTGAATGATCTTATCAGCCTTGCAGAGCAATCAGCCAAGGATTCTAGAGCAGCTCTGGAGCTTAACCAGAAAAATGATGAACTGATTAAAAAACTGCAGGTAAATGGGAGTGAATATCATGGTGACCCAGTTTTTTTCTTACTTTCATTGTGAAAATTGCACTGCAGGTTTGTGTAGTGTTGGAACTTTGTTCTGTAGTCAGATATTTCAAGTTTAATTCTATTTATTTTGCAGAACATGACCCAGGCTCTCCAGACCAGAGCTCTGGCTGTTTCTTCTATGTTGAACATGTCTTCAGAGATGTTGAAAGAAGCCAACATGACATTACCAAACAGTAGTGCTGAATTCCTCAGGGTAGGTATTTTTAGGTTACCTGTAAAGCTACAATTTTATAATACATTATAAACTGAAAATAATTATACTTTGACATTTGTGTGTTTGTCTTATTGTATTCATGAAAAATTGTGTATCTCTAAAGAAATTATATGATAATTATGAAATTTCCTAACTTCATTTTTTATAGTTTATGAAGTTTTATGTGGAATTTTGTTTTATTGTTCCAGGACTTGCTTGAGCAGCTGAAAAAGGACACTGAAAACCTGACCATAGCTGCTGGACTTCTGAGGCAAAATCTTCCAAATCTAGAGCCAAAAGTGAGGCAAGCAGAGGAACTGGCAGAGAAGCTGAGAATGCAAGCAGATAACTTAGACAAGTAAGGAATATGCCTAAACCAAAGACACCTTTGTTCTTCTTTAATGCTATCAGTTATTGTTTTAAAGTGTTATCAATTTTTTTATGCCTGAAGTAAAGGTAGAAGCTGAAGTGCTTGTTTATGAATAATTTTATATAAGACAAAAATTAATTTTTAATCAATTTTTCAACCCCTATTAATACATTCTTAATTTCCATTGTATTAATTTCTCATTCAATTTCATTTGATAATATTTGTCATTTCTGTCTACTTATCCATCTCTGTTTTTTTTTTTTTTTTTTTGCAGCATGTTTCAGGGTGCTCGTGCCACCTCAGAAGATGCAGTTAAAGCTGCTCAGGTGTATGAAGGCATAGTAGTGGCTGTGGATGATGCTTTGAAAGAGGCACAGAGTGCACATGATTTGGCCTCAGAGGCCATGAATAAGGTATGCAATATATACATTGTTCTAAACGTGCATGTATATGCACAGAGCAGTTTACTTACATACAGGTTAAAAGAAATTGATATGAAATAAAAAACTGAAACAATAACACATCTATCATGTTCATGTTTTCATTTCAAGACTACCACAGCAGATGGCAGCACATTGCAAGAGAAAGCCAAAAAGTCAGCCAACACAAGCTTGGACTTTGTGAATGAAGCCAACAGACTGGTCAATAGCAGCAAAGACCTCAAAGACCTTCTGGGCAGCATTGACAAGGATATTGACCAGGCCAATAAGAGAATGGATGAAGTGGACAGTGCCAAAGAACGTCTGACAGAAGGTATGGACAGGCTTCCTGCAGGAATACATGAGAAACTCATTGAGGCTAATGATAATGCGACTGGAGCCCTGGAAAAGGCAATGAATACTGTGACAAGTGTTGACTCTATTCAAGAAGGATTAGACAATGACCTCAAACCAAAACTTGATGTTGTGAAAGTGAATACCAAGGAATTGCAGGACTTGGAGACCATGACTGGAACCAGTAAGTGGTTGATATATTTCATTATTTTATGTTTTATTTTTTGAAATATAGTTGAGCCATAAATATATAAATTTTTTTAACCGATTTTATTTTCAGTGTGGATATTGTATTCTGAGATTCAAAATTAAGAAAGAACTTTTGAAGACACTTAAGTAGTGATAGATATCCAGTTCTAATGGTGATTACGACACATTTCATGATTTTAACGAAATGCAAACATTTGTATCTTTTAGTGATGGAGATCAACAATAATCTTGATGGTATTCGTGATGTGAACCGCTCTATCCACACCACTCTGGGAGCTCTGAACAGACTCAACATGTCACTGTCACAGAGCCTGGAGGAGCTCAGGGAAAGCATACAGAAGGCTAGGGAACAGGCCAATAATGTAAGGAACACACTCATGCCATGCATATGTGCGTGCGCGCGCACACACACACACACACACACACATCATTGATTTATTATGTTGAATGGTAACCAGATTTTATCATCACAAAGCCCATATATCCTTGTTAGAATTGAAGGGGTACAGTCTTTTATCTATATGATAGCCAAATCTTACATAACACATTGCAGATAAAAGTCTCCCTGGCAGCCGGTGGTAGTTGTCACCGTGAGTACAGGACAGAGGAGCTGAAGCCCAGCACTACCAACACCATCAGTTTCAACTTCAAGACCAACAACACAGAGAAGGACATGTTGCTCTTCTATGTGCAGGGAGAAGAAAAAGTAGGCAACTGTGTGATCCGTGTTAAGGAGGGTGGGGGATGAGAAAAAATTGACAAAACAAACTTTTTAGGTTGTTGCCATATTTTCATTTTTCTTGTCATGGATTAAAAGGTGGAAAGCTTCAAGAAACCAACTTTTCATACATTGTGTTATCATAAAACATATCAACAAAGTTCAAGTATGAATATTGCAACCTTTTTGGATTTGCTGTATGAGTTGGTGTTTTTACTATCGGGAGCAGTAGCAGTGTACTTTCTCTCTGTATTTATAGCCTGAGTTCATGGCAGTGGAGATAGTGGAAAGAAAGCTCCGGTTTGTTTGGAACAGTGGTGGGGGTGTGGCCATGGCAAATCACAGCCTACAGATAGAGAGTGAGGAAACTTCAATACAACCGGATGAGAAATGGTACAGTGTCATTGCTAGAAGGTAAGTAGACACAGAACATGATGGATAATATAATTAGTTATAAAGATTGGGATCATTCATTCTGAAAGTTTAAAGTTCATTGATTCAGAGTCCTTTACATGATTATGTGTATGCAATAAATGACAACTTGCAATCAAAACACTTAGTACAACAGTCTAATCAGTCATATTAATAATGATAATTTTTTTTTCAACCATTTTGTCTTGTATTAATAATCATTTATAATACAAGAAAGAAAAAAGAATAATGTTTATTATCACTGAGCATGTATAAATGCTGTAAAATGCCACAAAAATGTGAAAGTGACCAAACTCAAATATACAATCAATGACTTTTATATTATTTATTCATTTTCAGAACTGCCAATGTTGGTACTTTGGCTGTTCAGAAGATCAAGTTTGCAGGAAATGATGATCCTGCTCTAGCCAGCAGCTCATCGTCTGCTCAGTTCACAAAACTTGACCTAAATGACAGGGCAAAGTTATATGTGGCTGGTGCTCCCCAGGGAACTGTGGAGGTAGGGAGAGTCTTTCTTTTTGGATTTTGATGAATAAATGGTTAACAGGTTAACTTGGTTTATCAATTTACAATCTCTAAGTTAAAGAAAAACAAAATTTTGGTGCTTTAAAAGAAAGTTAACTAATTTGTTCAGACAAAACTGATGGGATTTTTAAAATCATACATATAATGATCATTGATGTAGTAAAAGGTATATTTATTTGCTATCTGAGCATGACAGATGTGTTCAAGTGACGTGTGTGAGAGTTAGGTGGATGTGTATTGAGTATAAACAAAACCACATATTGGGATATTTAGGGGCCTTTTTAATCAGAGTCCCTATTTAAGTTATTAGATAGACCTTTTCACATTGAGTTACATTTCATTTTTCCAGCGTGATCCTGCCCTGAAAGGAGGAATGTTTGTTGGCTGTATTGCTGATGTCACACTGGATGGCCGTGTGATTGGGCTGCACAATTTCAACCAGTCATTTGGAGAGTGTGGCATGTGCACAGAAAGGTGAGATTTGTTCTTTTGTTTAGTATTGTCCTGGAATTTGCCTGACAGAAATTTTGAGAGAAATTTATGAGTAACTTTTTATTTACTTTTTAAATCTATGAAATTTCCAGTCCAACACCAGTGGCTCCTAAGGATATATCCCAGTTTGATGGTACAGGCTATGCAGAGGTGCCTCCTATACAGCGCTATGACTCCACAGGTTATCTGGCTCTGTTTGAATTCCGCACCTTCTGGGAGGATGCCCTTCTATTCTTTTCTGGCAACAAGGCTAATGTAAGTCTACCTTGTCAACTGTGGTTGGGTAGAGAGGGGATTTACTGGCATTGGTTAAATGAAATAAGTTAAAATTCGAAGAGAAGATATGTTTCATTTACCTATGAAAATGTTAGAATACTTTTCTTTCAATAAACAAGTCTGTGTTCTGCACTAATTAATGTAGGATGTATGCCACTACAAGTACTTAAACAAATGGAAACTTGGTGCACATTTTTGAGTTTTTCCTCAATCCAGGGAGAGTATATTGCTGTTGAACTAGTGAATGGCAAGGTTGTGTTCAGTGTCAACTTTGGAGGTGGTAATAACATCTCCATTGAGAGCAGAGAGAAATATAACACTAACCAGTGGATGACAGTAAAGGCTGAGACACAGGGAAATGCAGGTTAGTAAACAAAATCACCCTGATTTTGGGAAGTGTAAAATAATTATCAAATGATTAAATTTTATCCAGTTGTTTAGTAACAGTGTTTGGTAAAGTGATAATAATTCTGTTATGAACCAGTTTTTAGCAAATTGCAATAGATATAAAAATTGCTGCATTGTATTTGTTTTGATATGTTTTAAACTAAGATATGTAATCCTAATGCTGCAGGTCAGCTTGAAGTGACCACCAGTGAAGGCAGAGAAGAGTTGAAGAGAGCTCAGGCCACTGCAAGTGGAGAGGACAGTCTGGACATCAGTAACGCCAGTGTGTACTTTGGAGGAATACCTTCTACATCAAAGTTTGACAGGTAGGTGGGCCGGGAAGTTATGTGCATTGTATAATAGACCAGACTACAACTGTGTTAAAAAGAAGCAGTGCTTTCAATCATTTTTTTAAAAATTTAAAATGATTCTGGATTTCCCAAAAATCTATCTAACTATCTATCTAACTTTTAAACCAAGTTAAAACCAGACTAAAACTATGTCTATAATCTTTGATGCAAAACATGCCAGCAGGTTTGTTTAGATTCTGCTGTTTCATCTTGATATCAAACCATTCCATTTTTTCAGTTTCCTTTGTATAAAGCTTGATGAAATACCTAGTGACAGATGGTCAATGTTTTGCATGAAGTGCTCATCATTCAATGTGTATTTTGTTCCTTTAGCTTCCCTCTGTCTGTGCGTACTCCATTCCTAGGCTGTATGAAGGGCATACAGGTGACGGCAGGAGGCAATGCTCTACCACTGTACAAGGGACTCAGTATAGGAATGACTCTAGGATGCAGGGAAAATGTGAGTACTGTATGATAACACAGTAACGAGTAATGCTCTTGAAGCAGAACGACACTTAGTATATCAATAAGATCACTATGTTAGATGGTGTGAAATGATTATTTAAAAGAATAACAAATTAAGTTATACCTAGGCAGTGTAGATACATGAAGTCTAAATGGTATATTCCTTACATATACTAGTGACATTGATTTGAAATTTAGATATTTTAATGAGTATTTACTCATTTCAGAAAACCCGTGTGGCAGGTTTCCATGGTGATGGCTATATTCAACTGACAGGGGATAGTCTTCCAGGAAGAGAGGCAGATATTTCCTTTTCTTTCCGCTCACTTCAAGACATTGCACTTCTGTTACTGGGACTTGGAGGGCAGGCTGACCCTGTAAGTATATACAGCAAGAATCTTTAAAACAACAACCGGGTTATTTGTGGTTTTACACCACATTTTTCTATTTAGATGGATGAAGATGCTTTGATAGATAGATTGACAACCCCATTTATCCATTGATATTGGCATAACTTTGTACTTTTTAACCACACATCATCATCCATGTGTATTTTCAGCACTTCTACTCAGTGTCCCTCATAGATGGTAAGCTCCAGGCCAAGTTTGATGCTGGGGATGGAGAAGTCACCATTACCTCTGATGATACTTTCAATGATGGCATGTTGCATGGAGTGTCCATAATCAGGAATAGGAGAAAGTAAGTATACAACCTACTACATCGGTGGATAGCTCATTGAATTACATAGTAATACTGCAGAGTTTGGTTGAAGCAAATAAACAAAAATATGTAAGAATGATTCCACTTCATCCATTAATCTGTTTGATACATCAAAATGCATGTACTAAGTAATACTATAATCTGAGTGATTGTTGTTTCAGAATTAAGCACAAAATGGTGGTGAAATTTAAGGGACCGTTCACATGGAAAGTCTATTTTCTAAAAATCTATTTTCTATTTGTGGTATCTTGTTATCACGGAAGTAACTGGCTCGCGCTGCCAGTAATTACGCCGCAGGATATTCAGGGCACAGACCGTGATCACAAGATACCAAGAATAGAAAATAGATTTAAAAAAAATAGACTTTCCATGTGAACGGTCCCTAATTCAGCAAAGGTTATCTAAACAACTTTGGCACACTTGACAGTGAAGTGTTTTGCAATCAGAAATTTAACAAAACACATGGCAGTAGTATAAAGGATGAGTGCGAATAAGGGGGTAAAAGTGCCCACTTTTGTACATGAAAAATAAATTGTGAATGAATGGAAAAAAATTGTTGCCAAATTAAAGTTGGGGTCTTACACTTTTATGATCCACTTATAAAAAAAATATTTATTGAATTTGAAATATAAAAATTTAATGTTAAAATGACCCTGTCAAATATTCATGAAAATGTGTGTTTTAGGGGGGGTCTGAGTTGCAATGCTACATATCTTTAGTTATAGTGGGGTGACAACTGTGAAATTTTGTAATTGGGTACAGAAGGTGCCCATGTAAAAAAGTAAGGCAATATGTGGCCAATCATTGTTTGTGATCAATATTTTGATTGCTTTATTTGTACATGTAGTGCTGATTGAAAGAAGAATCTTACAGTGACTTGAGGATAAAAGATGTTCATTTTCTATATGAGCCCCTGCCTCAGACAAGCTAATTATTCACGGTTGAAAAGACATGAATATAAGGTAAGATATGTGAAAATCAGCTTGTCTGAGGGTTGGGCTCGATATGTACTCAAACTAAATAGGGACATTTTCAGTCCATATGCTAGCAGGCGGCCATGTTTATTCCTGCCATGAGGTAGCTGCTACATGCTTACTTAGGATGGCTAGGCAGATACAATGAAACTTATGTTCAAAAAGAACAACTCAAAATACAATGTAGGTCTTTGAAAGGAAAATAGGGGTTAGAGTCACTAAATTATTTTCAATTACAACCAAAAAAAGAAAAGTAATTATCATGAAATGCATGCTATAAAAATAAATAAATAAATAAATAAATAAATAAATAAATAAATAAAAGGGGAAATATGGATAGGAAATAGAGTCCAAATACAGAAAGTACATCTTACATTCATTCTTATTTCTTAGGATTAAGAAAGATTAAGTGTAAAATGTGCTTTAGATATGCGAAGTTATATTAATTATCATAATAGCAGATGTACATTATGGTGGCTCCTACTTTATATAGAGACCCATGCTGTAATAGATCTCTACACATAAGGGTGGCTTGACCCAACCCCCTCTAATGGGCATGAAAGTACATTTTGTACAACCAAAATTGTTGTGTAAATGTCCCCTTTTATGTCTATTTTGCATAAAAAGTAAAATAAAAGGCTCCATCACACACACCCTAGTTTTGTTACTTATTACCTAATCTTCCACACCAGCACTATTCATAGGAGCTTTGCAGAGTTTTTTTTTTCTTCTTTTTTTTCACCAAAATGCTATGAATGACTTTATTTGTCAAGGAAATCAGTGAAAACCTATTGACTTGGTAAACAGTCCATACAAGAGACCACCAGCCTATAATAAATACCAGAAGTTTACCAGATAAAGCAAGCTAGCCAATATACTGATGAGCATCTGCTAAATGGCCAGTTTGAAATCAGTGGTAAATGTGAGGTATCCAAACAGCCTTCTCCACAACATAATTTTCGATTGTATCCCTGCCTCGTGGCAAACCCCATATACCACAGGACTGAAGTGATATGTGCACAACTTCCAACTGTCTTGGAACCAGCTTTACACTGTCAGTACCAGCCACTGATGGGCCTAGTTTTGCTATGGGAGGTCTGAATCCACAATGTGTACTGGTGGCTAGATATGTGAGGCAGGGATACAATCGAAAATTATGTTGTGGAGAAGGCTGTTTGGATAACTCACATTTACCAACATCAAGTGGTGACAGTATAAGCGAGACAAAAAGTGTTTCAGACAGCACATCTGATTAATTATCCATTGTTTCATTATACATTTTTATACTCATATTTGTATACTGTATTTTGTAGAAAATAACTCTTGCATTGCATTCTATACAAGGTTTTTATCACATACATAATCATATATGAAGTACTTTTTAGGTGATTTAATTTCATTGTCATACAGATTATTGACCATAACTGTAATTATGTGTACTATATTTTCATTTAGTTTTTAGTTATACCTTATCATTATTTTGGTACAATTTATACCTTGTTTATTTTATGGTTTATGGAAACATTGCAAATATCTGTGTAGAGTGCTTTTACACATGATTTCTTTTGTTGTTGTTAGTACTGTAACAGCCTTTTGCTTTTAGCATTTTTTACTATTCCTTAGAGCCTTGTACAAAATGTGTATTGGTTAAAAATACAATTATTTAGACCAAAAAATGCTGGTCTGTGAGAAAAGTTATATAAAATTTATAAATACGTTGAAACAAGTTTTTCTAGTAACAAGACTTTTATACAGTTAAGTGAAGTCAGTGATGGCTTCTGTGAGAAAATACCGTAACATACCACCCCTCCCTCTCTTCTCTAGGATTTTAAAAAAACAATAATTACTTTCTCATTTACTTGTGCCACACCACAATTATTTAACATAACTCTTTTTTACATCACAAGACAAGTTTCATTAGAAAAAAATCGTTTATGTAATATAAATGCTGAAACAAGTTGCTCTGATTCATTAGAATGCATACAATAGGTAAATCCGGCTA